AATTCTCGAAACAGGACGAGTTTACCAACACAAAAGCGAGTCACAAATTAATTCCAGAAACAGGACTTGGCAACTATCTATATGACCATGTGATATGAATTCCCGAAACAGATATTTTTGGTAGAAAAATGATTGTGTATTTATTTGTTGACTACTATGAGATTGAAAAGAACAAGAAAAGAAAAAAATGTGAAAAAGAAGTGATAGAAAAAGAAATGAAAAAAATAGAAAAGCTTTGAAAAAGGAAAAAAAAAGAGTATGGAATAATGTTGTATTAATAAGTGATGTGTGTTTGGTGTAACACTTGTGATGAAGAAGAATTGTGATTGGAATTATTTTGTTTGAAACTTTGTGGAAGTAATTACTCCCTTAGGTTTAAGCAAGTTTTTGTTTCGATTAGCTTTAGGACTTACCACTTGTTTGTTTACCCGACCATATTACAACTTTGAAAAGCCTTTGAGATTATTGTTTTTATATTTTCAATGTAAATTTTTGGATGAATGTATAATTTAGTCTTTTGTTTCCAAGATTGTTCGATGAGTGAAAATACCTCATTTTTGTGTGTTTTTCATCTACCAATAATTGTGTTTTCTAGGTGTGATTCATTTGTGAACTAGTATTGTGTTAGAATGTTTGGTATGAATTTTGTATTTAGCATTTGTTTCTTATTTATGTTATAGTCGTAGTTTAGTGGTAAGTGTTTACTTTGTGTATACTGATTTTCATTTGAACCATGACATTTATTTTCCATTTTCAAAACCTGTTGATTTGTGAGTCTTTGATTTACAATTCTTTGTTCTTTGGGTTATTAGACTTTATTTGAGGACAAATAATGTTTCAAGTAGGGGAGAGTTTGATAAGTGCAAAATTGTAACTATTTTGTATATATTTTTTGTTGCACTTATCGACTCTTTATTGTTAATATAGGTTGAATAACCCCGCTTTTTGTTTTAAATACATCTGATTGTGTATTGTGTATATATTCTATTGTTTAATTAGTTTTGTATATGTTTTGTAGGTATTTGAGTATGGTTGGAGCAATGAGGAATAAAAGCTCTAAGAAGCATTTTTGGATCAATAAAGGAAGAAGACCAAGATTGAGGCCAAGTGAAGTTGTGCAGAGAAAGCAACAAAAGTTGTTGGAACTGTCATGGATCGTCGGGCGATAGAAGCCATCGTCGGTCGAAATTTGAAGGCCGTTTTTTATGATTGCCTTTGCCTTGCTTCGCTGCTGCGTCGCTGGGCGAGGAATAAAGGTGTCACCGGGCGAAGCTTTATATCGTCGGATGATGGAGGATATTTTGATTTGCTGAGGACGTGGCTTATCCTGGGCCAAGTGTATAGAAAGAATCATCGAGCAACGCTTTTATGTCGCCGACCGATGCATGCGGATTAGAAGTTTGCTATATTTTTCTTTTCATTTCATTTGGAGAGGGATAGTTTTAGGGGTGAGTTTTTATTCTCTCAACTCCATCAACCTCATTTTTGTAGTGGATTAGCTTAGATAACAACACTAGGACTTTGCTTATGAATGATTGGAGGTAGATTTCTCATTAACCGAAACTGAAAAATCGGAAGATTTGTGATTTATCTCTTCTCCTCTCTATGAATTTCTCTTTTGTTGGGTTTTGTATGTATTTTACTTTGAACTTATGTATATTTGTCGCCCACGGCGTTATATTAACCTTGATTTACAAATCTTTGTGGATTATTGTCTTGGATTTTTACTTTGTTCTAGGGATTTGAGTTGTTATATATATATACTTCTTAGCTTCTCATCTAGAATGATTATATGTTAATTTCTAAACTCTAGAGATAGATTTAGAGTTGACATCTACTTGGATATCAGAGCTTAATGCCTCTGTGTGGTTGTGATGTGTTGAGAGATCGTCAGTGCGATTACATAGTTGTCTTCTGTGTTATTGAAGAAGTAAAGAGATCATTTCCTTAGTGATACAGTGGGTCTCTCAATTTGGGTTAAAAATGACTTAACTTGTGAGTGATACGTAGTGATATTGATGAGTATTGTTAGGTTGAATGTAACTGGCTATTTTTCCATCATTGAAGGATCATGAAAAATGTGGTCTTGTTTTCATTCATTCTTTTGTTTGTTCTTCTCATCTTTTGTGCTAATAGAACCACAAAAAATGAAGAATAGTCATTGCAATATTTATATCATCATTGCAGTAAATTGACTGGGTAGCATACTGAAATGAGCAACTTTCGAGAGGTGATCTACGACTACCAGAATGACAGTATGGTTTAGGAATAAAGGAAGGCATATGATGAAGTCCAACGAAATGTCTTCCCATACCTTGTCGGGTATTGGTAAGGGTTACAAGAGACCATAAGGAGGATGATTAGTAGGTTCCATCTGCTGACAGATTACACAGTTATGGATGAAAGCAATAACATCATTCCTCATTCCTTCCTAGAAGTCGTTTTCTTGTAGCCTTCTGAAAGTACGGTGAATCCCATCATGTCCTCGTATGGGTGAGGCATGAAACTCTTCTTACATCACTTTTTTGAATGGTGAATCTTAGGGAATAAAGAGTTTACCTTTTCATAATTGAAGACCCTCAATGACCTAGAAATCTGTGTGATTTTTTGGATCAGCTGTAATAGCGTGTAGCAGCTGTTGAAATGACTCATCATTCTCTAGTTGTTATTTAGCTTTGTGATAAACTCCAATTGAGGGAGGGAAAATGTATGACAGTGAATGTGAGAGAATGCATCTGCGACTTTTTTGAAGGCATCTGCGACTTTTTTGAAGGCATCTGGTTTGTAATCTTAGCCAAATAAAATTGTTGCTCTGGTGTTTTAATCACTTGTGTCATCAACTCTCACAAGATTCAATGATCAGTGTGAATTATAAAGGTTCCTCCCAACAGATACGTCCTCCATTTCTTGACAGCTGAAGTTATGGCGCATAATTCCCTTACATAAGTGGATGCCCTCAACATCCTAGGACAAAATTATTTGCTATAATAACAAATAGGGTGGTTGTTCTGAATCAATACACCACCCATTTCCGAGCCTAACGCATCTGTTTCTAATATGAACTTCTCTTGAAAACTAGGGAGGGTAATCACAGGTGCTAGTGACATAGCATGATTTAGAGTCTCGAAGGCGTCGTTGGCTTCAATAGTCCATTTAAAAGCATCTTTCTAAAGTAAATTGGTGAGTAGTGCTGCAATTGTTGCGTAGCCCTTGACGAACTTACGATAGAACCCTGTTAAACCCAAAAAGCCTCTCAATTGCTTGATGTTGACAGGAGCTGGCCAATTCAACATAGCATTGGTTTTAGTTGGGTCAGAACCTACCCCTTCCTTCGACACAATATGACCCAAGTATTCGATAGAGTTTTTGGGAAAGGCGCATTAGGATTGCTTTAGATAGAACTAATGTTCAAGGAGACTCTGAAACACTACCTCAAGGCAGGGATTGGAAATCTATCCTTGACGGTGATAGCATTGAGCACCCTGTAATCGATATTGAATCTCCATGTCCCATCTTTCTTACTGAATCGCCATTGGTGCTAGCTTGAATGAGGCCCTGATTAAGCATTTTGAGGATTTGGTTTATGATTTCTAGCTTTTGAAAGTGTGGATCAGAATTGTTGATGAGAGGAATTTTATGATCCGTTAGACTTTGAGGTGGTAATGAGAATGATGAGTGAGATATCTAGGAGTAACGTGTGAGAATTTGGGAAACACGTTCATCAGGAACGAGGGGTGGAGTGAGGTGTTCATCAAAAGATAAAAATTAGAGACGTACACACGTGTAGATGGCATTAGTGTCCACTAGCCGTTGAAGTTAATGTTGGTTAGATTCGCATAGGCCGGGTTTGGGAATGCTCTGTAGGCGAACCTATGATCCATGAATGTTGAAACTAATAGTGTGTTGTTCATAATTTGTAACAATTGGGCCTACGGTTTTAAACCACTGGACCCCCATAACTAAATCCACACCACTGATGGGAAGAATGAACAAATCAAAGTGGAATTCTTGCTGGCCCAAAAACAAGGAGACATTTCGACACATGGAGGTGCATTGAAGCTCTTCTCTATTCCCCACTAAGAACTTGAAGGAATGGGCTGGTTTCGTCTTTAAGCCCAAGTATTTTGCAACCTGATCCTATAGGAAGTTGTAGGTACTTCCACTATCAATCAAAATAGCCACTTGGCTTGTATGAATCTGACGCATGACCGAAGGGTTTGTGGTATTGAGTAGCCCCTAGGGGCATGAAGGCTGATTTGGGTCGGGTCTGGATTTGGACCGTCGAGATGAGGTGGATCCCGAGGAATCCCCTGTTTGTGAGCTAAATAAGAATCACCGGTGTCCATCATCATTTCAGGTTCCACAATCAAAAGGTGAAATTTCCAGAGGCAACGATGGCCCAACTGGAACCGTTCGTCGAAGTTATAACACAATCATTTCTCTCTACGAGCCTGCAGTTCATCTAGTGAAAGCATTTGATAGGTGTTGGTGGTTTCAGGGGTGTGACGGTGATGGACGGTTTAAAAGAGGATCTGACGGTGGTGGGTTGGAATGATTTTAAGGGAAATGGTGTACGATCAAGGTATTTTTCTTCTTGCATTTTGGCAAGATGTAAAACTTGAGTAAGTGAGATGGGTTGAAAAGCTTGTACCTCACGAGGAATGACAGGTTTAAGGCCGTAGATGAAGCAGTTGAGGTTGAATGTTGGTGGTAATTAACCTAACGATGCAATTTGCGAGGAATACGAACTGGGCTTGATACTCCTTCATGGAAGACGTTTGATAGAGCTTGAATAAAGCGCTTTTGGGGTCCTCGTAGAGAGATGGAGAGGATTTGGCCTCGAGGGATTGTAGAAACTCGGGCCATGAAAGGAACATGTTGTTGGAGTGCAGCCATTGAAACCAAACCAAAGCTTAGCCCTCCATGTAGAAGGAAGCAATGCGGAGTTGTATGTCCTTCAGTGTCATGTGATAGTCAAAAAATTGGTTGATCTTAAAGATTCAACCTAAAGGGTTAGAACCATTAAAGCATGGCATCTCGAGTTTCATGGTGGTGGTGGGAAATAAGTGAGTCTCAGAGTTAATAGAAGGCATCGGCGATGCAAACCCAGGTGGTGGAATGCGAGCACGAAGATCCTGAAATTCTAATGTTAAAGAGTTGATGTTGGCGGAAACGCTAGCCTGAAACGATTGTTGGTTGTAGAGGAGTTGATTGAGGGTGGTGGTGAGTTCAGCCATGGTGGGTGGTGGTTGTGGTGGTGGTGGGTGGTGGTTGTGGTGGTGGTGGGTGAGCCATGATCAAATAAAGCACCAATTTGTTACGAATGTAGTTACGAATATTGTAGATTCTACAAGGACTGCTAAGATAGGGAATATCTACTAATTCTTTTCAATCATACCTCTTTAATTACATCATAAACTAATAGTTAGTACTTTCATTTTACTATAGTCCAAGAGTCTTCTAACTAACTCTTGTTGACTCACTACAAATGCAATTAAGTGTGACTCATGGCAAAGCAATATCAAATATATTCTAGAATGCTTAATTTATTCTACCCTTTTCTCTCCCTTGGAACCTCATAATCATTGGGGTGTTTGGGCCTTCCACAATTTCTCTTGGGCCTGAGATGAGGAATTATTTCCTCGCATTTTGACTCTTCATCTTGTTGTTGCATAACTTTGGTTGTTTGTGGGTATTAAATGCCACCGAACAAAGATCGCATTTGAGCTTAGCCAATAAACTAGAACAAAAGAGCTCGTAAGAAAGAACGAAATTGGCACAATAAAAAGAAGATCTTTTGTAGATCGTGAATGGTAGAAAAGAGAAAAATGATGCTTCAAATATTTTTTATATGTGTCTCAACCATTAAGGATTATACGATCCACTGTACACCACCAATGGTTGAGATTTCATCGAAGGTTGTTCGAAGTACTCAAGTATCTTAAGAAAGAGGAAGCATCATTAACAACTAGCATAGAGACACACGTCAGTTGTTCCTTGTGAAACATTATCTATTATAAGAAATACATTTAATGTATCTGCTCTCAATGATAGTGATGATTCATCAAGGCTTTCACCTCCTCAGACAAAGCGGTCGGGCTAGATCATATACAACAAACCCTCGTTTTATGAAGCATGGATAATGGTTTTAAGGGAAACTGTTATGGGCCGCTAATAAGTCCCGAGCCGAAAGGCCCAGAGTCGAAGCAATGAAGCGCATGTGAGAAACATGTGCTCCTTTATCTTTGGCTGAAGTGGACAATTCCACTTAGAAAGTATTATCAGTTGTCCAGATTAATCAAACAGATGACAACGATCCACGCCGCACTCCCCGCTTTCACTTTAAATTGCTTTCATTATATAAGAGAGATAACGCATTATTCTCAAATATTTAAATTCATCTCCTTCACATCACTTTTCATTCTCCCACTGACTTGAGCGTTAAAATATTAACCTTATAGATTAACTTCCTCTCTATCATAACACAACCTCAAAACCACTATAATAAAATATTGATTTACTATTCAAACAACTCTTGTACTACAATAAAATAAGTAGTATATATAATATTAAAAAAATCTAACTAGCCTTATACTACTAACTTAAGAATATTAATGAGCAACCCTACAAAAAGTATGGACCATTTCAAATTACTTTTGAAGAACAAATGTAGTTTGAAATTCGTGTTAACTTTTATACCACTTTTCCTTAAATGCATTTAATTTAATGGGGTGCAACATGCTTTTGACAAAAGAATGTATTATTGTCACTATTTTAATGATAAAATGATAAAACATAAACATGCATATTATAAAAACTATCGAAAATTAATGTTAGCAAGTTTAATTCAAGCACAATATAATAGTTTAATCTAAGGTTGATGAATTTTTTTGGTTCGTTTAAATATTTCAAACTTCGTTTTTAGTTCTTTTAATTTTTTTTTGGCTTAAATGCAGTTTTGACCCCCCTAGTTTAAGGTTTTTGGAGTTTAGATCTCCCTAGTTTAAAAGTCAGGTTTCTAGTCCCCATAGTTTTCAAATTTGGGATTTTTGAAGCCCCCTCCATCTGGCTGCCCAAAAAGTTTTCAAATTTGAGATTTTTGAAATCTCGTACGGGCGGATGGAAGAGGAAATTAGGTTAAGCAATTTGGGATTTTCAGAAAATATGAATTATGAAATTAAAAATTTATTTGGAAATTAATATCACTTATTTAAATGTTTAAAAAATATTATTCTAAATAAGAAATAAGAAAATAATACGTGGCATTACTCTCCCTGTGCCATGTCACATGGAGGGGGCTTCAAAAATCCCAAATTTGAAAACTTTTTGGGCAGCCAGATGGAGGGGGTTTCAAAAATCCCAAATTTGAAAACTATGGGGACTAGAAACCTGACTTTTAAACTAGGGGAATCGAAACTCCAAAAACCTTAAATTAGGGGGGTCAAAACTGCATTTAAGCCTTTTTTTTTTTAGGTAATAGTCTTTTTAAAAATTTAAAATTTAATTTTTGGTTCCTCGTAACAAAATCGTAGATAAAATAGTTTCTAATTTCGTTGCTAAATTGAAAACCGTCGTTAAATTATAGAAGAGATCAAAAGTTAAATTTTAAATTTTTAAGAGAATCATTCTTTAAAAAGAAAATTTTAAAGAAATTAAAAATAAATTTTAAAATATTTAAAGAGACTAAAAAATTCATTAATCCTTTGATCTAAACACAATCTATTAGTCAATTTAAGTGATCAATATGAAGTTGATTCACATGAAAATGAAATCACCTTTAATCTTATAATAATCCAAAAATAGTCTCCAAAATCTATAAGCTTAGTCAAGTATATATCTTTCATATCTGCTCTCATATTTTTCAACCAAAAGTTTACTTCTTTCCAGGCTGGCTATTTTTCCATCATTGAAGGATCATGAAAAATGTGGTCTTGTTTTCATTCATTCTTTTGTTTGTTCTTCTCATCTTTTGTGCTAATAGAACCATCAAAAATGAAGAATCATCATTACAATCACTATATCATCATGTCAAAGTTAATAGTCATTCAGGTTATGAACATATTTGGCCAGTAAGTATTTTTGCATCCATTAGAATGAATTATATATTATTGTTTCCTTTTGATTATAGAATTTGATTTGTTTTGAATGATGAATAGAATATAGAACTTGGATGGGAAATCATTGTTGGTACTTTGATTGGAATCTTTGGAGCTTCATTTGGAAGTGTTGGTGGAGTTGGTGGTGGTGGCATCTTTGTGCCAATGCTTATATTGATTATAGGATTTGATGCAAAATCAGCTACTGCTATCTCTAAATGTAAGAATCTATATACACTTGTTCATCAAAAAATCAATAGATCTTTGAATTTATTTTGTATTTTTCAGGTATGGTTACTGGTGCAGCAATATCAACAGTATTCTTCAATCTAAAACTAAGACATCCAACACTTGATATACCAATGATTGATTATGATTTGGTGCTTTTAAACCAACCAGTAATAATTCTTGGTATTAGTATTGGAGTTGCTTTAAGTGTAGTTTTTGCAGATTGGATGATCACTGTTCTACTAATTATCATCTTCATAGGTAATTAATTAATTAATTAATTAATTAATTAATTAATTAATTAAACAAGTTTTTATTTCAAGTCCAAATTTTGTCAATTAGTAACTAACATGATTGATTTTGTTATATTCACATGTGCAGTTACATCAGTGAAGGCTTTCATCAAGGGTCTTGACACATGGAAAAAAGAAACTATAGTTAAAGAGGTTCATAAATACTGCATATTTTAATAGTCTATGTGATTTTCATGTTCAAGCATGAAAAATAATCTCTAACTTTTTTTCTTCAATCTTTTGGAATCACAGGAGTTTGTCAAGCATTTAGAGTCAACTGGTGAGTGATTAGGTTAATTGGATTTCAATTAAACCACTCCACAATCCACATGGTCATCACAAGAGACAAAATCACTTATTCATATGAAAATGACTTATTTTTTTCAGCCACTAGTAGTGAAGATGTTGAGTACAAGTATCTTGCTAGTTGTCCAGATGATGAGCCTCAAAAGAAAATTAATCAAGTAAGCATATTTTAATAGTTTTTGTCGTCTTTATGTAATCTAACCACTTGTGAATGTAGGGTACCATTCTTAGCAATATTCAATGGAAGAAATTTGGACTTCTTTGTTTTGTTTGGATTGCGGTCCTTCTCTTGCAGATCGCCAAGGTAAATTTATGATCAAGATTTTCTACAGTCGGAAAAATACTACGCGTTCACGATTAATAAAAGGTAAATTTGTAACAGAATTATACAGCTACATGTTCAATCACATACTGGATACTTACTTTGTTACAGGTAACTTTGTACTCGGAAATTTCAATTGACAGTTATACATACAAAATAATTTTAGGCATTAAATTTTTTGTTTTTGTTTTTATAGATACCAGTTACTGTAGGGGTTTCTATGTACCAAGCAATAGGTCTATATCAAGGGAAGAAGATTACAGTTTCTAAGCAAGATCATGGCACACATTGGCCTTTGCATCTGCTAATTGTATCACTTTCATGTGCTTTGCTAGCTGGAATTTTGGGGGGACTTCTTGGTGTAGGTAGTGGATTTGTGATGGGTCCTTTGTTTATCGAATTCGGAATTGCGCCTCAGGTATGTTCTACTATATTCTTTCTATCATTACATGAATTGATCAAAAACTGTAGTTGTCTTATATAGTATTTGATGATGTTGCAGGTAGCAAGTGCCACAGCTACATTAGGAATGACATTCACAGCATCTATATCAGTTGCACAATATTTTCTCTTGAATCGTTTTCCAGTTCCTTATGGTAAAATTAAATTTCATGTTTCACATTTTTATCATAAAATTTAACTATATATTTTTCTAGTTATACTAATATGTATCTTTGATGGTGATTTGCAGCTTTCTATCTTAGCCTTGTGGCTACAATTGCAGCATACTTAGGACAGAAAGTCATTGACAAGCTTGTGAATATCTTTCAAAGAGCTTCTTTGATTATATTTGTCTTATCCTTCACAGTTCTTGTTAGTGCAATTGCACTAGGTGAGTACTGATTATGACTATGGGAAATTAGTTTTTACATTTTGAACTTTCATTTTACTTTACTCTCTATATGGTTGTGTGTAGGTGGAGTAGGAATATCACATATGATTGAGAAGATTCAGAGGAATGAATATATGGGATTTGAAGATCTTTGCTACTAGTAGTACTAGCATATATTGAGGTTCATCTATTTATCTAAGTTTTGGAGTTATTGTTTGCCTTGAAGAGAATTATGTGTATGTTGTTTTATTCAATTTACAATGATTGAGCAAATTTTATTGCTGAAAGCTATCAATGATTAGATGTATATAGTTAGATTTAATATGATCGGATGGACATAAATTATAGCATATCATATATTAAAGAATAACTATTATAATAAGAATGGTGTATTTTGTAGGATTGAAAAGACTACTGATTGAGTTGAGTAAGAATGAGAGGGTTACTATCTTCGTTGCCGTCTAGGTTTTTAAAGTGTATGTTAATCGTTTAATGGAACAACGCTTAAATAATTAAACGGTTGACGGCAGAGACCTCTCATTAGACTTAACTGAACGGTTCAACCCGTCACGATTCATTCAGAGACAAAACTCAATTAAACAATTCATTAATAATTAGTATTTAATAACAATTGACCATAATATAATTAATTTAATAATTGATTATGTTAATCCATATTGATTAATTAAATAATTAATCTAACAATCTCTCACTTGGATGACAATAATCAATTATTAAAAATTTTAACATTAGATTATTAATTATGGTCAAAACACTAATCAATCAAAAGAAAAGTAAGTTTGAAATAGTATCCGATAGAGCAAACAAATCATATATGTTAAAGACTCAAAATTTATATAAAGAATGATGAATTTAGAGTAACATACTTAAGTTAAGAGAAATATGTTATTAAAGAATAGCCCAAGCATATAAAAATGTTATTAATAAACTTTCATTAATCCAACATATCATAAGACTTACTCATGTGTATAAGTCTGTGGTTGGTGATTTACTAATGAGTTTTCAAATTAAAGGCCATAGAATATCCGAACAGGTCTAAGAATAGTAATTACATATATACATTATCCTATTACGAGAGTAATTACATTTAATCATAAGTATCTTCATAACACAATATCATACTCGATAAGACTATTGATATTTACTTGTACTTTCATATTATGATCTGACAAAAGTGGATTATTAAAGATAGAATAACACAATATTATTGCATGCTAAAGAAATATTGTGTTTTTTCAATATCAACCTAAGTATCAAACTATGATGTTTCACGAGATTAACAGAATAATATTTATCTCAGAATAATAGAATAAGACTTCTTAGAGTTATTGTATATTTTGAAGTCTTCTTAAAATGTCATATTTATAATGCGCACAAGGATATATGACAATATTAGAATAATAATCTAAAGTTTTCAGATTAGATAATTGTGTACACATGCAATCTCACTGATCCCACGTGTATAAAGATTTATCAGAACTAACTAGAATTATATACTCTGATTACTCAATGAGATACTAATTATAATTTTATTGCAAAACATTATAGAGAAATAGTTGTATAATATATCATCAATAGAGTTTTACAAACTCAACCACATATTTTGCACATAATTAAAATATATCATTATTGATATAATTTCACATGAAAGAGTATGATGGTTATATAAAAGGTTTACCATCGTCTGAACGAGATCAAATCCATATAATTTTAAATAAAATATAAGATTATATACAACATCTTACCAACTCATTCAAATCTCAAATGCTACAAATATCACACACACATTTGAGAAACATATTATGTTATACGTAGCGAAAAATTTAAGACTTTAATTTTAACTATTATTGATAATACATCACAAATAGTCATAAACTTTCATCAATAACATAAGACTATATTATCTTCGATATAAGTCTCCATAAAATAATATCATATTAAAAAAATAATATTTTATTATCGTTTCTATAGAATTTACATGCTAAATTCTCTCACTTGATAGAGAAAAAATAGTTGAATTATGAATCTAAGAGTTGTAACATATTTAAACAAATATTCAACTATTTTCTCTATCACGCATTGATCATGACAAATAATGTCACATCGATAGGATATTTTCATTACTTACATAATACTTAGAGAATTGAAATCCATTTTAATAAAAAATTTAAAATAAGTGAATGGATTTCATAAAGTATTATATGTCTTTAAAATAATTTCTTATTTAGCAAATAATAATTTCAATAGTATTAAATAAGAAATATAACAATAAACAAGTATTATGTCACAAAATTTTTAATACCAATAAGATATTCGAACTATAATTTACATAATCATAAATCACAAATATATTGAACAAAAAATTATATTAATAATAACATACCGATAGAATATAACTATTATAATATAATATTTATTATAATGAAAATAAATTTAATTAGTTATTGAAATAAAATTTGTATAATTATATTTACGATAAACGAGTTATAATCCTATGAAACAAAAATATTTATATTTTATTTCAGATAGGAAAATTTATATAATTGAATCCACGAGATGTAAAATTACAATTATACAAATTAATAATAATTACTTAATTTTTCAGAATAAATCTCTCAAAATAATAATAAAAAATTATTATACTTATAAAACTAGATTATTTATTTATTTATTTATTTATTTATTTGAGTATATAACAAGAAATTAATTTATTAAAATAAATAGAGAGTTTTAATTTTAGATTATTCGGGAAAATAACAACACTTAATTTTTATATATAATTGCATAGTTTTAATTTCGAAAAAAGGAAATACATAATATTTTAAAAACTTCCTCCTTTCACAAGAGATTCAAAAATAATAATTAAATTATAACTAATTTCATAGAAAATGTGACACATTCATCATCTTTCTAAATAGAGTTAGTGAACATTTTGATGACGAGTAAGATATTACGGTATCATCTCAAAACTCATAAATCAATGATAAATCGTTATATTAAAATATAAATCAATATTTTAAATTAACATAATGTAAGAATAAAATTATTAAATTACCTTTAGAATAGCTCAAAATAATTATCATATTTTATCAATGAGAAGGTATATAATTAGGCAATATATAACTTAATAATTTTATTATTGTAAATTCAAAAACACAATATTTATATCATTTAGATATTTTGAATTTATTATAAGAAAATTTTGGATACGTATAAAAATTAAAATACTCCAAAATCATAAAAATCAAAATAATTGATTATAATATGATATCAAAATCAATTATTTAATAATAATTTATATTTAGAGATTGAAATATATCACAATATTAAGAAATATTCCGCCAAAATAGTCTGATTATTTAATGCTAATTATTTGACTTAAAAAATTGGAATATCCACCCTAAATTTCTAAACAAGCCAATTTATTCTCTCTTCACACACAAAGAATGCAATTGTTGATCGATCAAAACCATTAGCGGGATAGTATCATAATATATACACACTTATAATATAAAGCACACAAAATCTTTAACACGACATTTGGAGAGTAGTATGAGAGACAATATTTTTAGCATGACTTTATTAAATTAAACAAATATTGATATTACTGTAATAGAAGGAGGATTTAAAAAATTGAAATTTAACTCAAATCATAGTATATGAATTTTTACTGAGATAGAATATTTATATATTTTATGAAACATCATTTTAAATATATCTCAAATACAGTAACCAACAACTTAGAATACAGGGTACGTTTTAAACGTGTCTCAACACTACTTCGGCGGTTGTATGACCTAGTTTCAACAATACTTACATTCACTTTACCAAAATAATATTTTGTATTAAAATCAACGAAATTAAATCAAAAGGCCAATACTTAATAATCCATCTCTATTAATTATATTCTCACGGGTTGCAAAATAATATACTTTACCTTGATTTAATTAATGACAATTAAGGTGGCAATTAGTTATATATACAAGCCTTTTAAGTAGGTGATAGAGTAGGATATATACATTGACTTTAAATATAAAATTTACAATAGTAAAGAAAATATAATAAATTTCTAAAATCATTAGAAATACTAATTCTATTGAAATATTAATTCTAAAAATTGGTCTTTTAGAAAAACTCACTACAAAAAATTAACATTGTTAGTCAAAATAATGTTTGTCAATATAAAAAATAATCATTGAAAATTTTAAGAAAATAGTCAATCATCTAACAACACAACGGTGGTTACGTGGGAATTGCTTGTAGTTTTCAAGGCAAGATTATGAACATACAAATGAGATCAGTATTTATACAACTGAGACACACGTATAAACAATTCAAATCTCAATTCAAACATAAGAATTAGTATCAATATGATAAGTTATCTTGAATTGCATATTTATACTAACTATATTATCACGTTAAAGATTAAAATAATATAATGCATATTAATTGTGTAGTGCCCTTTGAAAGAAAAAAAAGGGACAACAAAGTAACAGTTTTTAATGCAATTTGCTAAAGGATTATTCCATTAAATCAGATTCATAAATTTTATGATAGCTATAATATATATTTAATCTGATGTCAGTTCTTAGATTTAATGTGATGAGATAGATATAAATTATAACATATCATATATTAAAGAATAACTATTATAATAAGACCGGTGTATCTTGTAAGATTAAAGAGACTATCGATTGAGTTGAATATGTATGAGAGGGTTATTACTCTCATTGTCGTTTAGGTTTTAGAGTTTATGTTAATCGTTTAATGGAGACAACGCTTAAATAATTAAACGATTGAGGAGAGATACCTCTCATTTGACTTATATGAACGGTTCAACTCATCACAGTCCATTCAGAGACAAAACTCAATTAAACAGTTACTCAATAATTAGTGTTTAATAACAATTAACCATAATGTAATTAATTTAATAATTGATTATGTCAACCCAGATTGATTAATTAAATAATTAATCTAACATATATATGTTATGTCATACTCATCCCGCACAACTTAAATTATTAAGTGGAGATTACATATTTTCATTTGCTACTTGTTGTTTTATGATTTTGAAAAATTTGCCACTTACGAAATTATTGGATCGAGTTGTGGACTAGGTTGTTCTCTTTAAGATATTTTA